AAAAAAACTAATATATTATTTTATATTTTATTGCAATTTAAGTTAGATTTTATCATGAGAATTTAATAGAAGAATAATACTATATATTAATTTATTTTTCCTAGGAAATATTTGTTGCGGCAAATAGGGCATATGATTTTCTCTGCAGTAGAAGTCTGTGGGTACATGATGGTCCTAATCCTAATAATATTCTTTTGATACTTCAAACTCAAAGTATTTTATTCTACCGTTATTCTAAAGGTTTGTATTTTTATATCAGATTAAAATATTTAACAGATTAATAGATTATTTATTTATACATTTACAGAACTTGAACCTTATAAGTATGCTGGATACAAACAATTAGTTCAGACCATAAGGTTAGAAGCAAGTGATGAACAATTRTTCTCTAAAGGTAACATGTTACTTGCAGCTGCTAGTGAGCTAACATACCATACAGTAAATTGTTCAGCATTGAATGCAGAGGAGCTCAATCGTGAACAAGGATTTATTGTTAGTAAAATATGTATTTGTGTGTTGTAAATACAAATACATTTATTTTTTCAGTCYTATTTAGGCATATATTAATATTTTATCTCAAATCACCAGACTGAACATTCATATGGTGTTTTATTGTGTATTTACTGTTTTAAATACTTATTGTAACATGGTAAAATAGATATATTATTAAYTATCTTGCTATTCATTAGCATGATAACARGAATAAAATAGACAGGGAAGTCAAGRACCCCAAATGGTGGCCTTTGGAAATTTTTATTTGGCCTGCAGACAGGGAATCAGAATAAGAAACTTATAAAAAATAAACTTACGGGCATTTACTACCAGAATCAAATTAGTTCTACATAGATATTTTATTTTACAATTTATTATTGTTGTCCGAAATGATAAATTTGATTATTCAAATTTTAAATGTAATAAATGGTTACAAAACTAGCAATAAGTAAAGTTTTCACTATACAACTAAAAATGAGTTTATTTGAAATACTTAATTTAAATTTAAATGAATAATAATCCTTTTGATAAAGAATTTAATATTTATCATAATAAAATGTTATATTTTATTTTAGGATTTACTTGGAGCCTATTCAAGATGTGTTTCTGTATTAAACAAATCATCAACACAGACAGAAATGTCAGTATTAGTTTGTACATATTGCACTCTTTGTTTTAAAGTTGCATCTCAATTTCCCATGTGTCGAGATACATTCTCTCAAATGCCTCAATTAGTGGATGATATCACTAGAATATTGTATTTCAAGGTATATATTTATTATTTATTTTTTATTGTAAGAACATAAAAATAACAATATTGCATTCAATTGTAACTTCTCAGTTATGATATTAGTAGAGTCACTTAATTTAGGTAATTCTGTTTAAAAATCAATATTCAGTTGTCAATACTCATAATTCCTTTTATGGGCTCAATATAAATGTCATATAATTKAACTGTATTTGTAGAATTTGCCAAAATTACATTGTGATGCTGTGGATTGTATTTCTGCAATGGCTTCTGATTCAAATCTTCAGATGAGTTTTCTACATAAAGGTGCGATTTGGCATTTATTAACATACATGTTCTCATATGATTATACATTAGAAGAATGTGGAGTTGAACGGTCGGAAGAGGCTAATAATCAAGTAAGATAAAAACACATTTCATCCTTAAAGTTATCAAAAACTAAAGAATAAATGTTACTTTTTTATAGGAAGTGCTTAATAGATTATCTAAGTTATCAGTAAAAGCATGTGCTAGATTAGGTGGATATTACAAAGGCGATTTATCTACTCCTGAAAACTTAGTAGCCAAATCTTTGTTTGAAAAATTACTGACTCCTTATGTTGCAGAACAGCTTTCTGAAGAAAATCCGCATCAAGTATTATTTTTTTCTACATTATTTAAATTAAATGTATTTACATTTTATATACACTTTTAGTTACTAAAAACACTTGGCAGCAATTGTGAAACACCTTACATGGTTTGGGATAATAGTACTAGAGCTGAACTAAATGATTTTCTGGATACTATGTGTAACCAGAAAGAATCTATTAACTTTGAAACAATTGGTTTAACATTTTCTAGTCACAGAAATGAATTAATTGTTGGGAATATATTTATAAGAGTATTTAATGAACAACCTCAATACACAATCAAAGTAAATACTTGATTTGAATTTATTTAATTTAAAGAATAATTTTAGAACCCATATTGGTATAAAGCGCCTACATACTGATTTACATAAATTAATAATATATTTACAGAACCCTAAAGCATTCTTGTTGGATCTCTTAGAATACATAAAATCCAATAATCCACTTAATAATATTTTAGATGAAAAACGAGTCAACAGTTTTATAATGGTGTTAAACGCACTTAATAATTTAATTTTAAACAATCCTGGTAAGTTTTATTTTCAATAGATYTGTAGTTGATGAGATACTTAAAACAATTTTTTTCTTATAGGTCTTGAAGTGAGTTGTATCGGTCACTTTAATTTACTCTTCAGTTTATTACGTGTTGAAACTATTCGAATAGTACAACATTGTACTCTGAACATTATTTTAACAGTAACTAAAAATAATGAATGTATCACAGATATTGCTAATTCTGGAGTAGTGATTTATGTTTTACTTTGTTTATATTCAACACCATCAGACCAAATGATCATCCTAGATATTCTTATCACATTATCAACATCCTCAACAATTGTAAAAGATATACTTAATAAAGGAGGACATTTGTTTGCTGTTGATTTATTATGTAATGGTGATAATGAATCTGGTCTAAGAGATAAAAGTGCAATATTTTTGAGTCGTTTAATGACTGAAAAATTAAGTGGCCCAAGATTGCGTCTAGCATTGGCACAAATTTTACCATTAGCAATTGTAGATACTATGAGAGATTTACCATCATCTACTGTTAGACTTTTGGATAATGATCAGGAAAATCCTGAACTTGTCTGGAATSAAAAATCAAGAATTCATATTTTTGGAAATGTGAACAAAATATCTAGAGAGTAATAATACATTTATTTTAAATAATCTAGTTCCTATTATAATAATTTTTGTCTTACTTTAGGCATTACATGACACTTCGACAAAATCCTAAAGGTGTTATCAAATTACCAGACACCAGTATAGTTTTATCATCACCTACAAATGAAATTGTTGTTGCTGGGGTCTATTTAAGATTATTTAATAATAACCCTGGTTGGAATGTTAGAAGACCAAAAGAATTTTTATCTGAACTTCTAGAYACATGTATTAGTTCTATGACAAAAGAAAAGGTATTTGACTAAATAAAACCAATTATATAGATATACTTATTTGATATTGATTTTTTGTGAAATTAAAACTAAGGTATTTTTGTTTTGCAAATTTCAAATTACAATAATTTCTTTTGTTATTTCAGAATGATAAATTAGAAATAATTACAACGTCAATTGTTAAATTATTAGAAGCACAACCTCATCTCAGTGACCAAGTTCCAGCATTAGGTCACATTCCTCGTCTTTGTTTTCAATTATCATTATTGTCCAATCCTGATGTACCAAAATCAGTGCTTTTGATACTGCATCAATTATCACTTAATGAGGTATCATACTATTTCMTATAAATTRTACATAATTATTTTTAAAACTGGCACCTAATTTTTTTCATAAATTACCCGGAAGGCCATGTGTACATTTTTGTGTACTTGCAATAAATTGCCAAACTTGCTTTCGTGTACATTATTATTTACACTGATATTTTTGAACTCACCATTTCTGTGTACATAATCCTGACACGAAACTGTAAATTTTAAATAGAAATATAAATCTCTTAGCCTCTAAGGCAATATCTGTATTTTTAGCGAACTCATTGCATAACTTGTTCCTATGATAACCTACTTCTTATTTTGACCAATTTATGGCAAGCTTACAAAAAATACCTACCTATGAATGGCAATTTTACCGTGCACAAAATAATGTACACATAGCAGTCAACGTTTTATGAATTGAAATAATAACACTCAACCAGGCCATTATCTCATGTATATTGTATAATGATATATTTTTTTTAATATGCTAATTTTTTATTCTGATATGTATTAWTGTACCTACATAATATTCTAATATTTAGTAATTTACACAGTAATTGTAATTATACATCTGTTACATATTTATATTTTAATTACAACTAGGTATGTGTTGGATGCATATCTCAGACTGAGTGCATTGGTCCAATGAAAAAAGCAATGCAAGAAAATTCCAGTTTAATTTATGTATCATCTGAAACACTCAGTCGAATGTTTGCGGCAAAAAAAGATAACCTTGTAAAACAGGTATAAAATATCAGTTATGATTTATAAAAATAAATAGGTAATTTCTGACAATATGATAATAATTTTAGGCATTAGACGCAGACTTGATATCATATTTAGTTGGATTGCTTGATGGTCGGTTAGATGGAGTCAATGGGAGTGCCAGAGCTAAAGCACAGATTGTAAAAGCATTGAAGACAATGTCTTCAAGTTTGTCATATGGTAGTTTAGTCCAAGCACAACTGGATAAGCTTCCTGCATGGTCTGCTTACAAAGATCAAAATCATGATCTATTCATTTCAAGTGCACCTTCAATGCCTTATTTAATGGGTACGTTATGGTACCATAGAAGTTTAATATCGTTATGCCCGTGACTAGATTAATTTTGAAATGAAAAATTACCCATCTAATTATGTTTAAATTGTTTTTTTAGGTGTACAAAGTGTTGGCGGCTACTTAACTGAGGGTCGTTCAAACTCTACTACAAGTAATGTACCTCCACCATTGATTAAAAAAGACTTTTCTCCATATTAGCAGAATTCAAAACTATAATTTCTTATGTTTGGTTTTAGAATGCATAGAGTTAGATTATATTTAAATTATGAACAACTCTAAATATTAGTATTAATTTAATTACTATTTACTTTCATTTATATAATATTACTTATACTAATATACTTCACGTTAAGTAACTATACTATTATAAATATATATATTCTATATTACATATAATCTATTTAATATTATATTGGTCAACTTGTTTAATGTATAGTCAGTAACGCAGTACRATAAATGTTTAGAATTAAATTTTTWWAAAAAACTGTGATAATTTTATTTTTATAATACCACGATAAATTAGTTCTATAAGGTTTTAAAATATTCCACTGTTTTATATTGTACTATTTTATTTAATGCAATACCATTTATTACAATTTATATTATTTATACTTAAACTTATTGTAATATATATATATATTTATGATATATATGTGTGTGTGTGTGTATAAGTGTAATGTATTTGTTATCATGTAATACCTATACAATTTATTAATTATAATTCATAATACTGGAACCTAAAAATCACAGCCTTAATCTCAATAAATAATGTAATGTTAAAAAAAATTCAAACAGTGTATTTAATGTTTATTAAAACTAAAAACAATTTATCTAAAATCTAATAATGTGAATCTAATTTAATTTAGTTATATTTATACATATATATTTAATTGAAATATTGCTTACATAATATATTTATATAATTTAATTGTTTATGTTTTTTTTATCAATAAAAAAATCCCATGACATACAAGCATTATTTACAAAAATACACCAAAAACTTAGTTCTAATGATTTAAATAAATTAATTTGATTTAGAAGCTCTAAAAGAACATTACCTAATACTACACATAGACATAGGTATGGTTGAAAAACTAAAGTGCAAAAGACAAAGTCTTCACAGATTTGATTATTCAATAGATAGCCAGTCCAGTTAGGACAAGTAGAGTAGAGACAGAATATAAAATATATAATTTTCATAAAAATATTGTTATTCTTGAGAGTTAAAAAAATAGTTGTTGAGTGTTGAGTATACTTCATCTTTTAGTTGGATATATATTTTAATGTTAAGCCATCGTATAAGAAAAACAATTCTGTTTGGAGACGGTCTATCAAGCATGTAATATATTATATTTATATTGCTATTATAGTAGTATAGGCTTGTGTCTTATTATAAAAAACCAAACTACAAGATATTATTAGGTATTATTTTTTTTTTGCATACATTTATAAAAAAAAAGCGTGAAAGTGGGTATCGCTCTGCTGTACTGCTGTACATTAGGTGGTGGGGTGAACCTCTGACTAGGGTAGGTTAGATTGGAATGCAATAATAGTCATCATTGTATACGAAAAACGATTCTGAACGGAGATGATTTGTCAGTCTAGGATATATTATATTTAAATATCGTCATATAGATATTCTATTTTGAAACAAATATTTTATTTTTCAATTAGGACACATTTTGCATAAGGCATGGTTAATCAATTTTTCCAAAAACATTGCATGTAGTTATCATAATTCATAATACCTATTTGAAGCAAAACTTATGGAAAACTTAGTGTTGAATTTTATAACCTTAGATAAAAATACAAACAATATTATGAATTTTTAACTACAAAATAA